GCCTAGTACTGTTGTTTATAGCAAGCCCTTGTCACTCAGTGAATGGGCACAACATATCATGAGCATTCAACTAAGGGTGCCCCCTGAGGACTCTGGAAACATCTCTGAGAGCAGAACCTCTCTCCTAGTGTGGACCTTGCATTCCCTGTCAGATATTCATCACTGGAGCTACTCTCCAGGTTACTCTCTCCTTTCAACCTTTCCTTTCAGAATGGGAAATTCAGGTGTGTGAGGGCAAATAGGATCGTTGTGCCGTTGAATGCTGTGCTGTTGGCATTCAGCGCTAGCAGTTGTGCTCAAGGAGTCTATTGAGGGGCATCTGAGCCTGGACACAAGCTCTTTTGTTTTCTTCCGGTCCTGCTCTATGAAGGTCATGTTTGCATTTTCACGGAGGATTCCTGTGTGCGGGGGGGCTGTTGGAGACCATCTGAAGGGAAGCACCCAAATTGTTCCCTGTCCACAGGCCTTGTCCATAAACCTCCAAAACAGGAGCACATAGTGCAGAGGCAATTGCATGAGCCCTACCATACCTGTGCCTACTTTTTTCATATACTTTGACACATGATATGGCACCACAGAAATCCATTAAACATTGTGGTGTGGAGTCTTCACTTGTTTTCTTTCACTGGACACACCGCAAGAAAATACTGAGGTCTTCTGAAAAAAGAACAATGACTAGAGCAGACAGGATGAGAAATTTAAAATTTGTTTCTGATTAATGCCGGCAATTATTATTGCATTTGTTACAAAGCAGAAATCAGCCTGTGGTCAAAGCCAGCCTTTTGCAGTACAGCGTAAGCTGGACAGGATTTGGCTCTGGCATTCAAGCACAAGCTACTCTTTCACAACCACCCCCTTCTGTTTCTGCCCTTTCCTTGTGAGCAGTAAATCTTTCCGGGCATTTTAGTCTACTCTCCCAAATGTTGTCAGACTGTGCCAAGTACAAGGCTCCAGTTTCTTTTTCCAGTGCAAGAATTTAGCAGTGAAAATTTCTGTATGTTTATGGAAATACAGATGCCGCTTTTAAAATACTTGGTAGTGCTTACATAAAGACACAGAAACATCTGAAAAATGTTTATTTTTCCGTATGTTATTTCAGCTCCAATTAATTTATGTTTTGTGATGGGAAAATAATATTGATCATAAAAATGAAATGTTGCTTGGAAATCCTTAGGCTTCTGTAATAGAATATTTCATTCAGGATGAAATGTGAGAATTACAGGCTTGATGCTGCTGCTGAAGCCAGTGGCTAAATGCCCAATTACCTTCAACCAGAGCGGGATCGAGTCTACTCTTTTGCAGAAGGATATCTTGAACAGTCAATAATCCTTAATTTCTGATTTAAAGCACTTCCATTTGGTAAAGTTTTAGTTCTATTTCAAGCCTGGAGCCATTTGGCTGAAATTGCATTTGATATACTTTCTGGAAATCTGTTTTCTGAGTCTGCTTAGAAGTCTGGTTCTGTATTCTTAAATAGAAAAGAACGTATTTATTGCAGCCACTTCTCTAGATTGTTTGCCTATCATGTTTGAAAACAAAAAAGGTATATGTGACAAGGTCCTGTTTCTACTAGGTGGGGTCCATGTGGAACACATTCCCTTAGTGCAATTAGGTGTGTTTGAGACAGGTATGTAAAAGGCCCAACATTCTTGGAAGATTGTGTTTGGAGCATTTGAGGTATGATTTTTTAAATTTTTTTTTTCTTTTTTAGGCAACGTGAATTTTCAGCTCATAAAGATAGTGTGTGTTTCTTTGCTTGGATGCTGAGCTCTGAGAAGATGTTAAAAGCATGCTATTCAACTTGGGTACTGTGACATAAAAAGTGAAACTTGAATCTTTCTGGAGGTTCACCCATCTAAAATAAAATAAATTGGTCATAGGATCTTTTAAAAAATGTGATAAAAAGAAAAACAATGGTATGGAGATTCAGACTTTTATAATCTACTTAGTTTTCCTCTTCAAGGTTTTTGCTGCAACCAAGAGGAAATTTTTTTTTTTTTTTCAGTACAGAGCTTGAGATTCTCATAAGAACTCCAGGAGTCGGACAGTTATAAGTAGAAGATTAAGTATCACAGGATTTGCAGTAAAATCATGGGGGTGGGGATAGCGTATGTATCCAACAGTGGTTTGCAAAACCTGAAGACATTTACCTCAGAAAATGTGTATGTTTGGGGCTTGCTTTAGCTGCTGGCTGTGAAATAGTTGTTCCTGTTAATTTCCAGTAGTAGTCTTCTGGTATGTTCAAGGGCAGAATTCAGTTCAGCAAGTTCAGATTGAAATGTGCTAACCAAAAAATTATTGAGAAAGTGGTAAATAATTGCAAGTGTGTCATTTCATGAAATATAATGTGGGCTAAGTCCTAACTCTTTGCTGGAGCCTTACACAGATAAATTGCCATTGAAATGGATGCTCTTTTCTCTCCCTTCCAACCCCCCTGCTTTGCCTTTCTCTTTCATAGACTGTGCCTGAGGCCCAACACGTGTGTGTTGGGATTAGGGCTATACTATCACTCATCTTCCAGAGGATGTCATCTTCCTCAGGCTCCACAAAGTGTCCTAGGGACATTGTAAATCTGCACGTAGAGGTGAACAGACCTGCTTCAAATAGGGAGCTGTTGTTAGACCCATCACCCAGCTCCTAAAGACCTGGTAGAAAAAAAAATGTAAACTTCTGCTTTTGCTTTTCACAGGAACCCTGGAAGAGATCATTGTAAAGTGATGGAAGTACTAGTATCACACCTCTGTGCAAAAGTGTCAGAAATAGGGCTGATGGAGTTACCAAAAAAACGCTTTTGTACAACTCTGGTTCTTGTAGAGACCTGAGAGGTAGAGCAGAGGGGAAAAAAAAAGTTAGTGAGTTCTCTTGCTCCCCTGTCTCTTCTTCCTGTAACCAAAGGAAGTGTCAACATCTGTGCTCTGTGATAGGTATTGATCTCCCATATAGGTTTTTTTTAGATCCTGTCCTCTGTTCCATAGAAACAAAACACCTTTGACATAGATGGGGCTGGTAGCATCTCCAGGTGATGTTGAGGTTGAGATTCTTTTTTGTGTTTATGTTAAAATCCGATTAGTCCTTAAGGCAGCTGTTTTTGCATCAAATAACTAACTCTCAATCTCAAAATAGACCCTGTTCTGTCTGCCCAAAGACCTGATGCCTTCCAATTCCTTGTTAATACTTGGTGGTTTAAGTCTTATAAAGTTGACCACTAGCTTGTGTTTTCAGAGAGAAACCTCTAAGACGTTTTCAAAGCTGCAGTTTCTGTACAGTGCCTCTGCTGTGTTGTGCTGGGAAGCATGATGAGAATTGACATTTTTGATGTCTGTGATTTTCCCTCTTTGCCTGTTGAAGATATACTACTGTTTACCTGCTTATTCTGTATCTGTCCCGCCTCTCCTATAACAATATGCCGAAGGCTACTCTTTTCAGCAAAATTTAGTATATTGCTCCTTTGGATTAAAAATAGAAGTAATTTCAGAAATGCAGAGGGTAGGTGGTCTAATTTCTGTCATTACCATTATGGGAGGCCTAAGGTTCCACCTCATGTTAGAATTTGATCTCGTTTGTCATATCTCTCCTTATAACTGAAAGTGAACTGAATAGTTCCTCTGAGTCATCAGTAAATAAAAGCTCATGGGATTGACAGGGTTTCTTTCAATAAATGGACCTCGAAGTAATCTACCTTTCTAGGCAGCATTGTTGTTCTTCTGTATCCTCCTATGAATGAGGAACTGTAATTATGATAAGTATGATGAATGTGTCAGACTGCAGTGTCTGGCAGCCTTCTGGAAATTCAGTTGTTTGTTTAGACTTGTGAAAAAGCTACCTTTCTTCTGTACTTTGTAACTGGAACAAAAAGTAAAGCAGGAGATAAAGTTGTTTTGGGCATAGAACTTTCTCCTTCATACTTCGTTACCCTTCCTCACTGTAGCTGAAGAAGACCCTCCAAGGCAATGCTGCCTGGCTTCATAGATCTTAGCTATTTTAGGGTGAATCAGTGGATAGGCGCCGTCTTTAACCCAGATACTTTGGATGTGGTGGTTACCGCTGCTTCTTTCAATGCTATACTGTTTCAAATGTCTGTTCCCTTGGTATCTCCAAATGTCTCACTTTCATCTTCATCCTCCCATTGATTAAAACTGGAGTCCTGATCTTGCTGAATGAAATCAACACATGACATAGATACGTGGTTGTCACTGTTGGCTGGTATTTCATAAGCATCTTGGATGTGCTTTCAGAAGTAATGTAAAGAAGGAAGTAGCAATGTACTTATGGAACACATCAGGAGAGTATGTCTTGTGGATAGGTGAGGAAGAAGAAAGAGATCATCGTTGCCGTGAATAAACAAGATAATCTGCACAGCAAATTACTGTAATTAGTGACTGAGGGCACTTAATAGGATGAGGGCGGAAAGGAGAGAAGTACAGGTTTGTGATACTGACAGCAATCTCAAAAGGTTTTATCTTCATGGAGTGTGGGTCAGTGAAACACTTTGTATAGGATGCAGAAGACTCCGAGCAATAGGGCTGGCTGGTGGGAAGGAGCAGCATAAAGGTGTGGGAAATGAAACTGGAAATTATTTCATGAAGAAAGGGGAGAATGAGGGATAACGTGGAGGGAAACATTTTCAGCTAAGAAAAATGCCTATTATTTTGTACTTTATTTCTGTTTATCCAGCTGTGTCATGTTCTAGGTCAGAATTGTATTTTCCTCTGTGTTTGGAAGGTGCCTTCAATGCTTTTGTATGCTGCAGAGGGCAGTAAATAAAACACAGTAGGCTATTATTACCTATATAATAACAATCTAGGTTTGAAGTAAAATGTGTTGGGTTTTTGTCTGTGAAGATTCTTTCACCAAAATCTAGGATTTTTGCACATGTGAAAAGTCCATGTGAAATTTTTTCTTCAGCAATCTTCAGCAATGAAAGAATATTTTTTAGTTTCTTTGTCCAGGCCTTGCTCTAATGGTGGGTTACTTATCTTACAGTTGGTATTTGCAAACAGGAGATGATTCCGAAGAAGAATGCTGTTTTGGTGGATGGGGTCATCCTAAATGGTCCCATAATGGACTCAAAGGCAGGAGAGAAGTTCGTGGAAGAGGCCTGTAAGATTATAATGGAAGAAGTCATACAGAAAGCTGATGATGTAACGGAAAAGGTAAAGCTCTAGAGTGTTGTTGAGAATTTGTATCAGAGATAATGAGCAGTAAAGCAATTTTTTTCTAAGCTGTATTTTATTGCACTTTAAGCAGCCTCAAAATTGCTTCTAGTCTGTGCCTGGCTCTGAAATAAAAAGACAGCCTTCCAAATCAAGAAAGATCATATTATGAAACCTTTCAGTAACATAATTAGCATACATATTTGCCAGAAAATAATTATTTTTTTCATCTCAGAGTTCAATGGTCACTTTCTTTTAGATGACAAATGGGTGCAGTGTTTTTCTTGTTTGGGATGGGGGGAGTTAGTTCTTTTCTCTTCAGGGGCACTGGTATTGGAGAAGGAGGAACACGGCATGTGGTGCACTGTGAAAAGGCAACATTATGGGGTTGCTATGGATTTCACAGAACCCCTGCTCAAGAGGCTGTATGGGAATAGGAGCTGAAAATGAAACATGCTTGGCTGCGGGCATGCACTGGTTGCTCCCACCCTTTAGCAGAACAGCATCTGAAAATGCTGTGGTTATGAATCTTTAGATAAGGATAGAATTTATCTACAGGCCACTTGCTTATGCGCCTTCCAGCATTCCCCACTCTAATTTTTATGGTCAAGCAATGCCTGAGACACAATAAAACCAAGATCCCATGAGACCAGTTTACCAGAGATATTTTCTGGCGGCATGCTGCACCGCAATGAGCAGTTTTGTGAAACCAGTGCTGAACGTGGTGCTTACCTTGTACCTTTACAACCTCTTCCTCTTGGCTAACCTGTTCACTGCTTGTGTCTTCCCCTTCCCCATCACTAGGTTTGTGAATGGCGAGCCCCTGAAACGCTGAAGCAGATTCTTGACCTGGAAATGAGGGACACCGGAGAATCTCATCAGAAACTCTTGCAGCTCTGCCGGGATGTTATACAGTACAGCGTCAAAACCAGTAGGAATGTGATACCTAGTGAAGTTATTTTGTATGCTAACCTAGGAAGACATACAAAGTTCTGTCACCTTTCAGGAAAACGGGGGTGTGAATGTTTGTTTTCTGCCCGCCTATACAATTATTGCAAACATTTGGCCGTGTTTCTGTTGTTTGACTGAATGTTGGTCACCATAGGTTTGACTAAAATGTGTAATCATGGCAAACTAATTGAAAACTAATTCCTGTAATGCCATTGACATTAATGGTAGATTCTGTCATATTGAAGTCTTGTGAAAGTCACCTAGACAGGTATGACATAACAGTCTAGCAAAATGGGCAGGAGAAAGACCTTTGTGTGTGATGTCCTGCTGTCTGAGTGGTGAGGAGGGGAGTCACCATCACCGCCCTTGTACAAACAACAATACGTTCCTGGTGATGATTATCCTACATTTACTATTGCTCTTTCTGAGCAATAGTCTTATGGGGTGCTAATTTGCTGATAGGCAGTAATTCGTGTTCCAGACACTGTGAGAGAGCCTGCAGTGTTTCAGAGACAGTACACCACATCTCTGCAGGTTTAGTTCTCTACAGCTAACCTACAGCATGTGTCGTATAATTCAGTCTTAGCGAAAAGGGATGAAGAGCAGCTGTTCAGGAAATAGCGCTGTGGATCAATAGCTCAGGATTTCAGATGTGGCATAGTTTAGCCTGTGTTTGGAAAGTGAGAAGGACACTTGATATAGTTATTTGCGCATTTCCAGGGCACGTTCCCCGCTACAGTCACTGTTGCTACAAAGTAAAACTGTAAAGCAATTTTGAGAGTGAATGCATGCCTTTGAAAACCATAGAAAAGCAACAGTACTGATCTACAGGGGGAGTGCACTAATAATATACAGCAATAATTACGGAGCTACTGGAAGGTGTTCTGTTTCTTGGTTTTGCAAATCGGCTTTAGATTTTCATGCGTTACACTATGTCACCTTAGAAAGGATATTGGATATAAAAATATGCTCTGCAAATAGTCTTTAATCTAAGCATAAATATTTACGTAAGACCCAGATGTAATATAAATGGAGCCATACAGTTTGCTTGGTTTTGCATGCAAAAGTACTATGCTGTGGATTTAAATTTAGCTGGTGAACCCACTGGTGAACTGACTTTTCTCATAATTAGTTATATGTCAGTGTTTCAAGGCAGCTAAATGTTGAAGTTGTCATTTTAAGTCTGCAGCAAGTTTTTCCAAGCTGTGACACTGCCTCACTCGATCAATACTGAGACTTTGGTGGGAGCACAGGCAAGAGCTGCCTGGGACTGGCAGGTTGCTGTATTCTACGGCTTAGCAAAATTTGGCAGAACATCCATCGTGGCTTCTCAAGACTGCTGGTAAAAGCCACTGTGTATACTCAGTTGTCAATCCCCTTTTTTGTTTTGTAAAACTTGTGAACAACCCTTATTCATTCTGTGCACTACTTGCTTCTCTCAAACCTTGTTTTGGGACCTGAAAGTGCTTATTAAATTTACATTCAAAGGATTGTCTAACCTAAGAAAAGCACAGTAAGTCCAGAAAATACTGAGAGAATGATGGAGTCAATTGTGGTTTGCAGTGATCAGTGTTCAGCTGAGTGGGCCTGTGATATATTATCTTTTCATGTATATCCTGTCACTGCTTTTCATCTGTTTTTTCAGGTCATCCAAGATTTTTCAATCAGCTATATGCTGGAATAGATTATTACTCGTTAGTGGGTCGTTTCATTACAGAAGCACTGAACCCAAGTGTGTAAGTATAGTTCTTTGTGCTCTTGATGATAAATTCGCACGCGTTTTGGAATAACAGCTTTTTTTTTTTTTTTTTTGCTTCCTTGCCTTTGGATTTCTGTTTTCAGTGTTACAGAGGAGGTAGGAAATGTGCAGGAATTTGGGAGAGAAAACAGTCTGAATTGGCTGAACAGCTCACCAGAAACTTGGCTAAGCTGATGAGGCCTTTTTTCTAGTTTGTGAGGTGGGGCTTAAGAGGAGAGATCTTTGTTTTTCCACACTTTTAAACCTAGACTTTTTTACTTAGTGCATAAAAATGAATTAGTCAGACTTACTCAGTTGTTTGTTTCCTTTGAAGCATTCTGCAGAGTTGAATGCAAATGGTTACCTGTCTACTGTTTACTTGCAAATGTAAAGTCTAAACAAAAAGTAATTCTTTCTTGCAGTCATTATAGCTGAAATTTAAGTGTGTGACCTACATTAAAAGCAATCTCTGATGTATTACTTTGAGAGTGGAAGTGTCAATGTGATGCTGTTAGGAGCTAAGCAATTACTCTAATGGGTCAGATCCATAGTGTTTTTAGTTTCGAGTTTTACTGATGATGGTGGTCAGCTCCTAATAGATTAGAGAAAGGTGCAAGAAACCTTTATCTGGTTTTGGCAATATACTGTGGCATGAGTTCTTAGTCTTAATACCAATCATGATACTTTTATTTTTGTTCAGATATACATATGAAGTATCCCCTGTGTTTCTGTTGGTGGAAGAAGCAGTCATCAAGAAGATGATTGAGTTCATAGGCTGGGAAGAGGGTGATGGTATATTTAATCCAGGTAGGGACAGTTCAGATTTAAAGCTGAGTCATTATAAACCAACTAATACAATAATTCCGTGAACATATGAGTCGTATAAAATATTGGAAAATGCATGCAAAGGTCCAGTGATGCACACACGCAACTATTTCATCCAGGCTTATTCTTAGGTATTTCTAGTAATAATTCTGTGAATCTGATCAGCAGATGAATGAAAACAGTTCTACATTAAATATAATTATGTGGAAATTAATTGTTTGTAACTGATTGTATTGGGTTTGCGTGGCAAGGTTTTGGTAGCAGGGGGGCTACAGGGGTGGTTTCTGTCAGAAGCTGCTCAAAGATTCCCCTATGTCCGATAGAGCCAATGCCAGCTGGCTTCAAGATGGACCCACCGCTGGCCAAGGATGAGTCAATCAGTGACAGTGGCAGCACCTCTGGGGTAACAGATTTAAGAAGTGGAAGGCTGGAAATGCACAATTGCAGTCAGACAGGGGAGTAAGAATATGTGAGGAAAACAGCTCTGCAGACACCCAGGTCAGTGAAGAAGAAGGGGGAGAAGGTTCTTCAGGCCCCAGAGCAGAGATTCCTCTGCAGCCTGTGGTGAAGACCATGGTGAGGCAGGCTGTCTCCCTGCAGCCCATGGAGGTTAACAGTGGAGCAGATCTCCACCTGCAGCCCAGGGAAGGTCCCATGCCACAGCAGGTGGATGTGCCTGAAGGAGGGTGACCCTGTCGGAAGCCCACGCTGGAGCAGGCTTCTGGCAGGACCTGTGGCCCTGTGGAGAGAGGAGCCCACGCTGAAGCAGGTTTGCTGGCAGGACTTGTGACCCCACCTCAGAGCAGTCTGTTCCTGAAGGACAGCACTCCATGGAAGGGACCCAGGCTGGAGCAGTTAGTGAAGAACTAACTGTGGGAAGGACTCACGTTGGAGAAGTTTGTGGGGGAATGTTTGCTGTGGGAGGGACCCCACACTGGAGCAGAGGACGAGTGTGAGGAGGAAGGAGCGGTAGAGACAATCTGTCTGCAACCTCCATTCCCTGTCCCTTGGCACCACTCAGGGGGAGGAAGTAGAGAAATCGGGAGTGAAGTTGAGCCTGGGGAACTGTGGGAGGGACCCCACACTGGAGCAGAGGACGAGTGTGAGGAGGAAGGAGCGGTAGAGACAATCTGTCTGCAACCTCCATTCCCTGTCCCTTGGCACCACTCAGGGGGAGGAAGTAGAGAAATCGGGAGTGAAGTTGAGCCTGGGGAAAAGGGAGGGGTGGGGGGAAGGTGTGTTAAGATTTGGTTTTATTTCTCATTATCCTACTCTGATTTGATTGGTAATAAATTAAACTAATTTCCCTGATCCAAGTCTGTTTTGCCTGTGACGGTAACTGCGGAGTGATCTCTCCCTGTCCTTATCTCAACCCATGAGCCTTTTGTCAATATTTTCTCTCCCCTGTCCAGCTGAGGAGAGGAGCTTTGGTGGGAACGTGGTGTCCAGGCAGGGTCAGCCCAGCACACTGATGCCCTTCCTGACCTTTTTAACCCCAATACCAACAACCTCATTGGACTGAGTCAACTTGGTTGACAGACAGGGACCTGAATTTACAGTGCTAGATACCAACCAGTGGTGCCCGAGGGCACTGATGTGTGTATCCTGCCTATCAGCTGTGGGAGCTAGAGTTTAACTTAGTGGGAGTGTCATGAGCTTAACTCTTAGAGTTTTGATAGTTGGGTTTGTTTTTTTTAAATGATCAGGCCAACCAAAAAAATATATCTTAAGCTTCTTAATAGGCCACGTTTTTCAAATGTTCTGTAAAGCAGTATTGCAGCCCACTGAGTGGAAATAATGATGCATAATGATATTAGTCCACAGGTACACAGATACCAAATTATTAGGCTAGATGTGAAGCTTTTCTATCTAATTTGAGGGTGAGAAAAGAAATTAAATGAGTAAATGCATTTAAACCCTGCCCCTCCAAAAACAAAACAACAAAGTCAGTAACTCTATCCTATGTGTGAGTAGTAGAAAAATAAACTAAAACTCCTTGCAAAATTTTTGAAAAAAATACATTAATGGTATGGAATTCTTCATGTCAGATTTGATTTTTCGTGTCTTTTCAGTAGAATCCTTGCCTCTTTTTTTTTTTTTTTTTTTTTGCAAATTGCTCAATTACAACTTACTGAGATACTGTCAAAAGAGAAATGAATTGTACATTTTTGCGCTAGTTTTATGTAAGGGTTTTTCTTATTATTTCGGTTTTGTTCTTTTAAGTGAATAACACCCATCCCGATCTTACCTTGCAGATTTTCCAGTTCCCGCCCACTGTGGTGTTTTTTTTCCTAATGGCTTTTTCCTCCCCATAATACTCTTGAGGCTTGGTTGCCCAAGAGATCTCCTAGGCTCCGCAAAGTGCAACCACAGCTGAGCTCGCTGCGGGCAGCTGAGCTGGCACTGGTTCAGTGTAAATGGGAAGGAGCTGTTGCAGGGCATTCTTTGTTGGGGAGGACTGTTCGGGCACAGTTCTTATTCTTCAGGAAATGTCTCCGAAGGGCATTCAAACACGCTCTGTTTCCATGCATGCTGCAGAGCCCAAAGTTCACTTTATTATTTGTTTTGGGGAGGGAATTGCCTATAGATGCTTTCATCATAGATTAACTGTGTGGCTTATTTTTTCCCTAATAGATCAAGCACTCAGACACAGAATAGGTGCTAGGACCGTGACTAATATGATATTTGTATGTCTCTTTCTGCAGGTGGCTCTATTTCTAATATGTATGCTATGAACTTAGCAAGATACAGATTTTGTCCTGAGATAAAGGAAAAAGGGCTTTCAGGTTTGCCAAGACTAGTCCTGTTCACTTCAGAAGAGGTAAAAACAAAACAAAAAAAGCCTTTTGAACTTCATTTTTCAATGGCTGCAAAATTACATTATTTGCATATCTGATGGGGCACTGGTGCAATAGATTTGTCATCAGTGATTGATGTGGCATATTGGAGGTAAGAGGAGAAATATGGTGGTAAATTTCCCTGCAGAAGCTTCCTTGCTCTCAGAAAACACACACAGATGTTCCTGCTCTTGGAAACTGCTGATATAAGAATAGGTTTTATGTGAGGCAAAGCTGAAGCAGAATGCATGTGGCGTGTTGTGGAGGTCTGCAGCATTTGATTTCCCACAGCATAAAGTCTAGCAGGAACCATAGGTAGGTTTTGGATGTCAAAGTTTTTTTTCCTGCAGGTTTAATTTGTTCTAAGCTGAGCGCTTGTGGACCTGTGAGATGTCTCTCTGCAGCTCCCACACTGCCCTATATCTAAATACAGACTGGCTGTGGTAGAGAACCAAAACCTGTTCTTCTTTAAATAATTAAAAATATGTGGCTAGTGTTAAAGGTTTTTGAAGAATTCTATCCAAACTGCCTGTGGAAAACTGAGTTATATTCACACATTTATTCTGAAGCGGATTTTTTAAAAGGCTTTTTTCTTTCACCTGTCCCTCCAATTTTAATAGTGTATAATTTGATTAGTACAGAGTTGTTACTAATTCTGACTCCACTGTATAAAGGTCCCAGTGGAGGTGAAAACCTTGTTGTACTAGGGAGTATATAGTTACTAGAATAATTTTAGTTCTTAAGTTTATGCTCCAAACAGTTTTCATTGTAAATAGACAGGAGAGGCTTATTTTGAAGAGGCTTGAGGGGTGAAGGCATTGCATAAGTTGTCCAAGACAGAACATGTATTTTGGAACAGAATCCAAATGTCCTAAATAAAAGGATTTTTTTTTTCCCCAGGCAAAATATATTTTTTTTTCTTTCAGAAAAGCATGTATATGAAATGACATGCCAGTTTGTACTTAATCCACCATGTTACATCTCAAAAATAGCTAAGGAGGAAAAAATGAGGTTGAAATGCGTTCCTTTAATGCTTTTGAGATGAAGTGCATAGAATTTTTATCATGAATGTGCAAGATTTAAATAAAAAGTACACTCTCCTACTCCAAAACAAACAAGCATTTAATTTAATGACAAAGGAAATGCTACCTGACTCATAGAATAAATTTATTTTGGTATCTTTGCTGCATCAGAAAGACGAAAACCATAAAGCATAGAACTGATCATGTAAAATAAATTGGTAAATTACTTGTAAGGCAATGCTCTTGATCTCTAATACTGTGCTTGATTCACAAAACTAAGTCTTCTGTACTCAGTAATCACTTGCTGTAAAACTGCAGGTTTTGGTATCTAGGTATTGGGACTATTGTCTAAGATCTGTAATATTTATTCATAGTTATGAGGGAGGAGATGTGCATATTCATGTACCCTTATTTTAGATCCACCTGTACTGAGCCCAAGTTACATTACCTTTTGGAAATCTGTTTAGTTCAGATATGTCATATTGATGAGAATATATTTAATAAATGGCCACACTGAAAGTAAGTGTGTAAGTGCTCATGTCACACACTCTTCATTTTTTTATTATTTGCTTTTACTTTGAGCTGCTCTGTGTGTGTGTGTTCTGGAGGATATAGACCTGTTTTTCACTGGTTGGGCAAATGATTTAAAAAATAATTCTGGAGAAGTTAACAACCTGTGTTTTTCTTTGAAGTAAATCAGACAAATGGTATTGGCATGGAGAAGCCATGAGACTCTAATGAACTGAGAGTATTGATAAGGAGTCAAAACACATGGCTGTGTCGTTTTAGGGCTTGGCTTCAACACTCTGTTCAGATGAAATTATTTTTGCCTTGAGTTGCCAAGTCTCAAAGTTTCAGTCTGGCACTTGGCAGACTGAAAGAATGGCCTTGCTGTGGAGCAGGGGAATGCACAGATTTGTCAGTGACTTAATGTTATGTGATCTGGGGCTATGTATTTTTTGTGCGTTCTTGGATAACGTGAAGGTGTGTGTTTAATGCATGGCCCGCCCAAGGTCCTCACATGCTTTGTTTGGCCTTCAGGAACAAAAAGGCTCTTTGTTCCTGCAAGTAAAATGATTAGCTATTTAAAACTATGGTGATGCACAGTGAACAGTGTTTATACTACTACTCCGTCGTTCTCTCGCTGGACCATTATGGAGTGATTCCTCTTGAGACAGTAGCAGTAGTAGAGAAATTGTTATATCTCACTTTCCTGAGGCATGATTTGTGGCTCTGTAGGAGCTGAATACAGTTGTAGTTAGCCCACCTTTTTATCACTTTTTGCTATTTGTGTCCTATCTGAACTTTCTTCTGACCCAAGAATGTATTGCGTTGATCTGAAAGGTAGAAACCTGCTAAATTTGAAGTAACTGAAGGTAGGAGAGGATGTGTAAACAGCTGAAACTTGCATGCTGATACGAGTAGTTTCGTAGATGCAATGAAACTAAATTCCTCCCCAGTGCAACTTGATCATGAAAGTAATAAAGTGACAGAACACAACATTAACTCACCATGTCATCCTCTGTTGAAATTACAACTGACAAAAATTAGTAATAAAACAATCTCATAATAATGTAATTGCTTTATGCAATCATGTTTCTAGGAAACTTCTCAAAATCAAGAAAATACAAATTTATCTTCTGTTTTAATGAGCACAGGGGGAAAGTATATTGTCTTTGCAAACGTTATTAGGAAAAGAAAACTATGTATAGCTATAGATAAAATAGTGAAGCAGCACATCTTAAATGCACTGTTCCAATTTGATCTTGTGTTCAAAGACATTCATCTCTCACTACAAATGGCTACAGATTTAATAATGTGTCCAAGCAAACAAAACTGCAAAAGACATGGCAAGAGTAATCTTAACTCACTGTATTTAAAACTATTATTTAAAATTACATTTATAATCTAGATACAAATAATACCTTTTATCTGGATATTTCTTTCTCTTTTTTTGCAAAGGGAACTATGAACAAGTGAATTAGTTGACACTGTTGTGATTGGAGCTGCTAAATGTTCTCTAGCGTATTTTTTCTTAAAATGATGCGGTGTAATTTAGCATAATGGCTTCTAGTAATGATAGCAGGGAAGAAAAAAAGAAATTCTGGTATGTTTGCAATCAATATAACTGAAAGACTACTTTTTTAATCAAAGAAAGCATATTCCAAGTCTACGTAGTAGTATAAGTCTTGTCCCTTTTCCGTCCTACTGAAGACCTGACAAATTTTCCAAGAGGCACGGAAGTACTTGTGGAGCTGAGAATTATGTATCTTGCAGCCTGTTTTGTTTTGGTATTCACTTCGT